CCAATGATCAGGTGGCCCCATACAGTACTCAGACACAGCTGTCTGCCCCAAAATCTAATCTCTCCGTCATTAGGAAGAGAATCTCATTCCCTTCTCTCTTTTTTTTTTTTTTTAAAGATTTTATTTATTTATTTATTTTTCCCCCCAAAGCCCCAGCAGATTGTTGTATGTCATAGCTGCACATCCTTCTAGTTGCTGTATGTGGGACGGGGCCTCAGCATGGCCGGAGAAGCGGTGCGGCCGTGTGCGCCTGGGATCCGAACCCAGGCCGCCAGCAGCGGAGCACGCGCACTTAACCGCTGAGCCACGGGGCCGGCCCCCATTCACTTCTCTTTTAACCACACTTTTTTTAAACCAACGTTTGTATTGGAATAAAACCATTTCCCAGTCTCTCTTGCAACATAGTGTGCCCATACGTCCAAGTAGTAGGCAATAAAATGTAAGTAGATATGTAGTATAGTAAAGTATAATTTCTTCTCATTGGATTACAAGCATGACGGCTGGAGCTTGCACAGCTAATTTAGACCACGAGGTGGATGTCCTGTCCAAATATATATATATATTATTTTATATATTATATATATTGTATTATATATTTCTATTATAATATATGGAATATATTAGTTTATGATACCATATTTTAATTCTATATGTAAATATATATAACTTCTATTAATAGAGTGACCAAATAATTTATTGTTCAGTAGTAATGCACACTTTTGTCTTGGATACATTGCATATATGGATATATTTGCATATATATAACAAAGCAAAATACCATTTATCCTTATTACATATAATATACTGATGTTTTTATTCCCATTCTATTTTTTAAGGCTGGGTGCCACCCACTAAGTTGATTTCATGACCCATTAATGGGTTGCAACCACAATATGAAAGAACATTCATTAATCTTGAATAACCACTATGCAGACTATACCAGGAAATCAACAAGAGAGGCTCTAACAGAAGTTAGACAGCATATGTTTATGGTTAATAGCTTGGGTGACAAATGTCCCAACATACCCAGGACAGTTCCAGTTACATCTGTGCCCCTGGTCTAATTTTTAATAGCATCCTCTTTCACTCTCAAAAGTGTCCATTACAAAATGAATTATTTTGTCACCCTATTAATATTGTTGTAATATTCTGGAACATTCCTGCTAAAAATACACATATTGAAACCTTGGAGAATAGAGGCAGGATGTGTTGGGAATGCCTTCCCTCATTGGCCTAGCAGGGGCCCAGACATGAGACCTTGAAGATACTGAGAAAATCCTATCTGTATTTCATACATATTCTTGCTACGAGGCCTAAAATAGCTTTTTTTCCCTCCATTCCTACTAACCAAATCCTCTTTAGGCCAAACTATAAACCTAGCTTCTTCCTAAAACTTGCCTTGACTCCACTCTAGAATGCACCTGAGCCTCTCCCTCCCTGGAACTTCACAGGCGATTATATATAGTCTGTACCATACAACTTGCCAAATATGGCATTATATTATTTTCTATTTGTTTCAAGTATGTAAGACATCTAGTCAATTAGATTGTAAACTGGATGGGGGCAAGCCTTATGTCTCTCTCGTGTCACTTTCAGACTTACTACAATTCTTGACATGTCACATGTGTTCAATAACTTTTAACACTAGGCTTGCAATTCCCACTGCTTTTCTTAACAGCCAAGACCAACAGGTTTTGAAGTCAGAAAGACTTGAGTTCGCAATCCAACCCTGCAACTTATTAGCTGCATAATACTGGGCAATTTACCTAATCTCTTGTAGGAATAACACTAGAACCTAGATTATACGATTGTTCTGAGAATTAAAATCGATTAGAGGATGCATGTGCCAAGCACATGGTGAGCACTCAGTAAGCAGAACCTACCATCATCATTACATCATCCATCTTCCAGCAAAAGTATCCATGAAGCAAAAGATGGTAATGCTATTTCTTTTTTTTTAATACACAGTTTTCCTATGTAGAGTCTAAGCAAATGATTTTCTACTCTACTACCACCAAACACTTGATTATAGACAGATTATTCTGCATCTAGAGATCAGTCTAATCCAGGTTAATTCACAGATTTGGAGAAAAACTGGATCAAATCTGGAAATACGATTCAGACCAAAATACTCAAAGCTACCCTTGATACACCTTTGAATGGAGCTTAATTTCCATATCAGCCCAGAACTAGCATGATGAGGGCAGCAGTTCTCAAATTCTCTGATCTCAGGGCTCTTTACACTCTTAAAAATTGAGAATCTCCCAAATTTTGTTTATGTGGGTTATATCTACCAATATTTACCATATTGGAAATTAAAACTGAGAAATCTTTAAAGTATTTATTAATTCATCTTAAAACAATTACATGGTAACATAAAAAACATAGCTTATGAAAAATAACTATTTTACAAAGAAAAAATTCATAAGAAGGGTGGAGTTACATTTTTGCAAATCTCTTTAATGTCTGGCTTAATAGAAGACAGATGGATTCTCATATTTGCTTCTGCATTCACTGTGATGACGTGTGAGGCTGTGATACTGCATGTCATGTAGCCTCTGGAAAACCACTGTAACGTGACAGAAGGAGAGTGCAAAGGCAAATAACATCTAGGAATTAACATGAAGACATTGGACAGGCAGACTCCCTGAAAATGTCTAGGAATCCCCAGGGACTCCTCAGACCACCTCTGAGAACCTCTGGACTAGGGCTAACCCTCAAGCCACTCCAGTCTACAGTCAAACCCTCAAGACTGTTCCAGGCCAAATCTAGACTGAATTGGGATCAGCCTTTCTGAAATAAAAGGACAAAATAAGTCTCCCAGGGCATTCATCCTTAGGCCTGACTTTTAAAAGACATTATGCAATTAGGAAAATAAAAGTAAACTCTCCTGTCATGTGTTTGGTGATCTATTGTTGATTGTGTCCTTCATCATATTCTGTCTTTTGAAGACAGAGCAAAGGAATTCTATTTTCTATGGGTTTTTTCTTCTTATAAATAGAAGCTTTAGAATATTTTAAAGTACATTTACTGTGAGTACTAATAGGATGATCATAATAACATGTTTTCCTTTCTTCTTTTTATCAATATTCTACATGTTGAAAAAATTTAACTCAACTTTCTAATATTTTTGTTTTAGAAAATAGTTCTTTTCCATGAGAAATATGTAATTTATGTTTAACATACAATAGGTTTATTTTTTATTGTTAAAAGAATTAATAAACACTTTTTTAATTCTCAGTTTTAATTTCTAATTCTTACCATATTTATAATGGTTACTGTATGGATAGATATAACCCACATAAAGGAAAGCTCTTTGGGATCAATAATTTTTAAGAGTGGAATGGAGTCCTAAGACCAAAAAATTTGAGGACCGCTGCTTTAGGACATATATGAGACCCAGAAGTAGCAGAAGGTCTGGCTGAGGGGGCTTGCACCCCACGCCTGGCTGCTACAGCAAGGTGAGGAAGCTCTGTAGGGAGGGAGAACTGGGAGCAAACCACCCCAGCCAGGGCAGAAAGGAAGTCACAGCAAGAGCTCAGTGCAACTGCATGAGCCAGGGAGGGCTACTGAGTTCTGACCAAACCAGGAGAGACCTGTTCACAAGGCACATGAGCTCACACATGGCAGAGGGACCCCAGACACTTCCCTATAGATCTCGTGAGCCATCCACATGTATCCACACACCAGAACACCGTCTCAAGGAAAGAATCATGGGATAAGTTATCTGAGAACCTAAACATTTTTGTATAAGAGAAATCAAACATCAGCCAAAGAAGCCAATTACAGATTGAGCCAAACTTTAAAACCAATTGAACATTTCAATTATTTTTTTCCTAATAATCAAGGAGTGAGTGCTCATGAAACTAGATCAGTGACAGACAAAAACAAATTACATTTTCTTTGCCCATAAAAGTTATAATATGAATCAAAGTTGCAACCCCACTACACATAACCAAAAGTTCATATAGAACGTGGGCATGGAGAGGGGAGAGGAAAGGAAGAATGGCATAGCGGACTGTGAGTCAGAAGGCCCATGCTTTAAGTCCTGATTTGGGTGTGTATTTATTATGCGACTTTTCTGAAGTCACTCTCCTCATCTGTGAAATGAGAAGAGCACCAGCTCTGCCTTACTGAATTAGTGTGAGAAAACAAGTCCATGAACTTTTCCTTTTAACTATGACGTGTGAACTCTTTTGAGGCTGCTAAGGCACTAAAAATAGAAAATCACACAGATATGGTCCCTACCCCACTGGCCTTTAGAGTCTAGTGGGGAAGACACAAGTAAATCAGCAATGACAGAGTGAGATATGGGATACAATGGAGATAAGCAAAGGGTGCTTTGAGAGTCAAGAGGATGGACATCTGAATTAGACTCGGGGTGGGGAGCTTCCGGAAAGGCTTCCCAGAAGAGGTGACACTTCAGTATTGAAGAGTAGGCGTCTCAAAAGGAGAAAAGGGCAATCCAGGTAATGAGAGTAGCATAAATAAAGAGCAAGGAGGCAGGCACGGCAGCGTGAAGTTGTGGTAGAGGAATAAATCTTAACGGCCTTTTAAGCGAATTGAATTTTTTCTTCAAAAAATGTAGTCCCTTGAGGATTCTAAGTCCTAGCTCAAGGAGACGGTCCCCAAGGGCAGCCCTGGGTCCCTAGGCTTAAACAAAGGGAAGGCCTGAGGAAGAGGATACAGGGTGAAGCGGCCCGGCCGCGGGACCCAGGAGGTCCGGCGGAGGGGGCACTGGTACTCTGGGCACCAGAGTTCGTCGTCTTTCGGTCGAAGCCCCGAGGGACCTTCGGGGAGCCCCCGAGGTTGTCCGCCGGGCGCCCGCCACGCAAAGCTCAGGGCAAAGGCAAAGCCAGAGGACGCCGCGGCGCAAGCCCATTGCCCTCCCGCCCCTGCCGAGCAGCCTGCCCGGGAGATGCCTACCGCCCCACCCCGCCGCCCCTTAGCCCTACCCGGAGCGCCCACCCCGCCCCCGACCCGGGGACCCCGGGACTCACCGCTCCCCAGGTCCCCGGCTCCCGCGGTTACCATGGCGACGGCGCACCCGAGCGCGGTAGCGCCGCCCCAAGCGCCGCGGTTCCGGCTGCGCGCGAAGGTCAAGGTTGCATGGTGCGGGAAGCGGGAGGGGACAGACAGGGAGGGATCCGCCAAAATGATTAACATCGCTGTGTTCGAACGGTGGCGTGCGGGTTTTTTCTTTATTTTGTAAGTTTTGTGCAATATGGTCTATATTTATTTTACACTTTGAAAAATAAAATTTAAAAATAAGGTATGTAGATTGGTTGCCTGCCCATCTTACTGTTATCTTTGGGCCTTAAACGAAATGCATTAAATGCATTCTAAAACTATAAAATATTATAATTATGACGGACAGCTTGCTTAATTTTCTAGTCTACTGGGGATCTTTCTCCTATGGTTTAGGGTCATTGTCACCAACAAGTAGCGTTTCCTGAGACTTCACAAGTGCCAACTATGGCAGGCGTGGAGGGAGCTTGGAAACCATCTCTCTCATGATTCGGGAATTTTTAAGACCCAAAATAGACTTTTAAAAAGGGAGCAGCGGGTGGAGCTGGGACAGGGACATCGAAAGAAACCGGCAGAGAAGGGCTGAGCTTACCCAGGAATTATGTAAAGGTTCACATCCATCACAGAGCGAAGACCGGAAAGTTTTTGTACTGAAGACAAGTGTGAAGGCAAACGTTCGTTTCTTTCCTATTTCTACAAGGAAATCGTTAAGGGGGAGGTAATATTTTAGAGGAGCTCTGAACATTTGAGCGAAGGCTGAATAGCCTAGTTTTACAATAAATATTTGGCCTACAGCCCAAGCAAAATATCACTATCATAGATCTGAACATCTGGAATACAAGAATAAATTTGAAAATTTTTTAAACTGTAATCATTAAAATTTTGTTATTCAAATAAGTTGTGGTAGTCAAAATTTTAGAGTTTGACATTATAGACAGGAACAATAGTCTAGAAGCTTTGTCAGCTGCTAGCTTGATCCTGCAATCACCATACACACATTTGCTCTACTGAACACTCATTTCCTACTGAAGTTGGTGGAAGAACAAGACATTTTAGATATTTCACGTTTAATATGGTCTGTTTTTTATAGTCTTTGGTTCTGGGGTTTTTTTAAACATCTGGATGGAAGATGGCTTATTCATGATTGTGCTTGATTCTGTTTTTAATTAATCTTCATTGGATGTGAAGAATTCCCAAACACAACTGTTTCTTGAAAGTCTTAAATGGAATTAAATAACTAAAAGTTAGAGTTCCTAAAGATTATTTTTAGTTTTCTGAATGCTAGAAAGGGTGGGAAGACACTAAACAGGTCTGAGAAACCTGAAAGCAAAGGGGCTCTGTTCTCTGCTTAACTCCGTTGTCAGAAACAACTGCATGATTCGTTTAGGTAGACTAGGTGAGAAACAGCTTTATGAAGGAGATTCCTGGCCCAAGTGTGGCCCAGATGCAGCAGATAGACTCCCATGATCCCCTCTAACTCTCATCCCCCCGCCCCCCCACCCCCAGCTTGGCATGAGAGTATTGAAAAGAGCCATTGGATCTGAAGGGGCCAAATGGATGTGACAAGTGACATCTCAGCAACAACCTGTGAGTACTAATGATGGAGGTCCAGATAAGACAGTCCTGGTGTACAGATGACTTAAGGAGCAGATGAGATAAGCACTATGCAAGCCCCCGGAAGTTAGGTCAGCTCCGGAAAATTATAGTCGGGGGAGAGGTTTCCAAATTGATCGAAATTAATTTTTGCCACTCCAGGAGAATGGGGCTTCCGAATAGAAATTAAATTATTTTCATTATTATTATATTTCTTGAATTCCATAGTTTATAGACAAGGAATCATGTTCTTTATACAATGTTAATTTCTAATGAAATAACAGGATAAACTAGTTGAGAAAGTTACTCCAAGGTAACTTAATGTGCTATATTAATAATTACGTGTTATTGACTGAAGTCCTATTATATGCTGAGTACTATGTTAAGTGATTCATATAAATAATCTCTATTTCTCATAGCAACTCTGTGAAGGTGGTATTAGTATTCTTTTTTTTTTTTGTGTGAGGAAGATCAGCCCTGAGCTAACATCCATGCCAATCCTCCTCTTTTTGCTGAGGAAGACTGGCCCTGAGCTAACCTCCTCCTTTTTTTCCCTTTTTCTCCCCAAAGCCCCGGTAGATAGTTGTATGTCATAGTTGCACATCCTTCTAGTTGCTGTATGTGGGATGCCGCCTCAGCATGGCCAGAGAAGCGGTGCGTCGGTGCGCGCCCGGGATCTGAACCTGGGCCGCCAGTAGCAGAGCGCGCACGCTTAACCGCTAAGCCACAGGGCCGGCCCGGGTATTAGTATTCTTGAAACCAATGCTCAGCCAAGTTGAGTCAACTACCTAAGACTACACAGCTAGGAAAGGGCTGAACTGGGATTTGAACCTTGGTCAGTCTGGTTTAAATCACAGGATTGCCACTGGTTAACTATAAACTAAATAAATATTAGAGGATGCCTGTCTAAAATGATAATTTAATTTCAAAATAATCTATCTTGAGCCGTTCTTTTGGCAGTAATTAGATTCTATTAACACCATTCCTAGTGTGTGACTAAAAAACTGTTTCTACATATAGCTAATCTCCACGGTTGAGAAGTAGAGGAGGAGGTACTGAGCATCCATTGTTTTTGCCTGCCCATCATTCCCCTTCTGGTTACAGCACCCAGTTTTCTAGGAGGGAACCCCTTTGGCACACTCTGAGCCCATGTGGTTTGGGTGGGGCCGATCCCACTCCAAATCAAGTCCTGGCCAGGCAGTGTTTTCTACACTCTGGGCCACAGTGATTGGGTCAGGAAAAAACATGGAACACAGATCAGTATAATCAAACCTAATCCTGAATTTTTGTCAGAGCAGTAAGTAAATAGGCATTCTTTTTCCAGCAGGGGTTGATGAGGAGAGGAGCTCAGCCTGAGTTGCTGGTAGCCATCTTGCCACCATGTGGAGAGAGCTTGAGAGAGCAATGAAAGAGCCAAGAAGTAAACGTGAGATTGAATCCTGATACCATAAGTTGAGCCCTGGAGCCACTAGACATGCCTGAAAACATTTTTTATCCTCCTTTTTCAATTATGTAAGTCAATAAATTACTTTTTTAAATTAATCCAAAAAAGGGTTGGATTTCTGTTACTTGTAACATCAATGCCTCATAATGTGGAAGGAGGAAATATAGTATGACTTTATTTTAGAAACATGCTACCCCTAGGGGTAAATACATGAAATTTGGGCTGGATAATATTGCTGTTAGGTGTTTCACTGTGCTTGTGAACACCTGTGCTTGAATATTATTGGTTAGCGGATCAATGTTAACCTGGAGGCAGGTTTCTAGTAGGATGCCCTAGTGTTCTGTCATCCTCTCCATTTCAACATCTTTGTGTCCATGACTTAAATATAACTCTATAAGGCATACTTATAAGATGACCCAAAGCTTGGGATAATAAATAATATGATAGAGGATTGCAGAGTGAAAATCCCAAATCAAAAGATACCTAGAAATTCAACAGGCAAAGAAGTGAAAGAAGGCATTCCAAAATAAATTTGTAAAAAGGCATGGAGGCACAAAATAAATAGCAAAGTACATTAGTGAATACCTAAGTATATTAAAATAGCAGGAGAATATGTGGTTGAGAGAGAGGCAAGAGATGTGGTTAGAAGGATTGGAAAAGGTCAGACAGCAACATGAAGAATAGTTTGGAGGGGGACAAGACTGCAGGCACAAAGAGAAGTCAAGAATGACTCCCAGGTTTCTATCTTGGGTGACAAGGTGGCTTGTGGTTTCCTAACTAGGAGAGATTTTTGAAAAGAGCAGTGTTAGAATCAGGATGATGAGTTCAGCCTTAGACAAGTAGAGGTAGAAATATGTGTGCCTCCAGCTAAAATATATTTAAATCTAAAGCTCAGTAGACAAGACTGGGATATAAATATAGATTTGGGAGTCATCAGCATATAAAATGTTATCGAAAACCTTCCAAGAGGATGAAGTCATCTAAGGTGAGTGAGTGAAGGAATGGAGGGCTCAGGGCAGAGCCCTGGGAAACAACTACATTTAAGGAGTTGGCAGAGGAAGACATGATCAGAGAATGAACAGACCCAGGTGAGTGTGGCAACATAGAAACCAAGGAAATAGTTTCAAAAAAACCTGAAAAAAATGACAATGGAATTTGGCCCTTAGGAATAACCTTTGTGGGATCAGTTTTAGTGAAGGGTGGTAGGCAAAATCAAGATTGCAGTGGACTGAGGAGTGAATGAGAGAGGTGAGAAAGTAGAACCACTGAGTACACAATAGTCTAGCTTTGAAGAAGCTAGAATAAAAAGCTTTTTTAAGACTCTCTAAATGCCAGAAATATCTTTATTTTTAATGTAAGTTAATTTTGGTATTTGTCAGAGATAACATCATGGTAACTGATTTAACAACTATAATTGGAAATGAGGAAGTGGTGGCAGTGAGTATACACTATTCTTTTGAGAAGTTTGAATAAGATATGGAGGAAAGAGATTGCTCAGAAGTTGAAGAAAGACAAGGTGTCAAGGGAGATGTCTTGGCAGGGAGAAGATCACAGAAACCTGAGTGTACCTATAGGATGGTAGCAAGGAACTAGTAGAAAGAGAAGATTAAGAAAGGAGGTGACTGGGCCGGCCCCATGGCTTGGTGGTTGAGTGCGTGTGCTCCGCTGCTGGCCGCCCGGGTTCGGATCCCGATCCTGGGCGCGCACCGACGCACCGCTTCTCCGGCCATGCTGGGGCCGTGTCCCACATACAGCAACTAGAAGGATGTGCAGCTATGACAAACAACTATCTACTGGGGCTTTGGGGGGAAAAAAATAAAATAAAATAAAATAAAAAAGAAAGGAGGTGACTGATGAGGTAAAATCCTAAAGGAAACTGGAGGGTAAAAGATTAAGGTGTAGATGGGCAGGTTGGCCTCAAACAGAAGGAACTTCACTTGGTCCTCTAATACTGAAGTGAAAAAAGTAACAGTGGTGTGGATATATTAATTTTTCTAGATAATGGG